ATCCCATCAGCACTCTCCTGCTTCTCACCTGTCTCCTCAACCGACGTGACTAATATCATCTGCTCCATGTCTTCATCCACCTGTATCCTCGATCCCATCCCATCCTCCCTCATCAAGCACTGCCTCCCCGTCATCTCCCCAGTCATAACACAGATCATCAACTCCTCCCTCAACTCCGCCACTGTTCCCCCGTCACTTAAACTGGCTGCTGTCACCCCCATCCTCAAAAAACCTGGACTCAACCCCGATGACATTAGTAACTTCCGGCCCATCTCAAACCTCCCTTTCCTGTCAAAAATCCTCGAACGTGTCATCGCATCACAAATCAAAACCCACCTCAACAGTAACAACCTATATGAACAGTTCCAATCAGGATTCCGCACCCACCACAGCACTGAAACTGCCCTCATAAAAGTGACAAATGACCTCCTCATCTCCGCTGACTCTGGCCAACTCTCCATCCTCATCCTCCTCGACCTCTCCGCTGCTTTCGACACCATCGACCATGCCATCCTTCTGTCCCGCCTACACTCCCTCCTCAATATCACAGACACCGCTCTTAACTGGATCCACTCTTACCTCACAGACCGGAATCACTTCATCCATATTAACAACTGCTCCTCCACAACCGCCCCCGTGTCCCAAGGTGTCCCCCAGGGTTCGGTGCTTGGTCCCCTCCTCTTCATCATCTACCTCCTCCCTCTTGGCCACATCCTCCATCAACACAACCTCCACTTCCACTGCTATGCTGATGACATTCAATTATATATCTCCTCCAACTCCATCACCCCCCAGACCCAACGCTCCCTCTCAAACTGCCTCTCTGACATCAAACACTGGATGGACAGCAATCTTCTTAAACTCAATTATGACAAAACAGATCTCATCATCATTGGCCCAAACTCCCTCACCCCCACAGTCACAAACTTTCATCTCTCCATCAACAACTCCATCCTCTCCCCCTCCTCCCACTGTCGCAACCTTGGCATTCTCTTCGACAGCAACCTCTCCTTCACCCAACACATTAAGCAAATCACTAAAACAGCCTATTTCCACCTCAAAAACATTGCCCGCCTCCGCCCCTCCCTCTCCTACCCTGCAGCTGAAACCCTTATACATGCATTCATTTCATCTCGTCTAGATTACTGCAACAGTCTCTTTTATGGCACCACCTCCACTCTCCTCAACAAACTTCAGCTTATCCAGAACTCAGCCGCCCGCCTCCTCACCCACACACGCTCCCATCAACACATCACCCCCGTCCTCCAAAACCTTCACTGGCTCCCCATACCCCATCGCATTCAATACAAAATCCTCCTCCTCACCCACAAAGCACTCCACAACCTCGCCCCCCCCTCCCGACCGGATCTTCTCCACCCCTACATCCCCTCCCGCACCCTCCGCTCCGCCAATGCCAACCTCCTCACAGTTCCCCTGACCAAGCACCGAACCTGGGGGGACAGAGCCTTCTCAGTCGCCGCCCCCACCCTCTGGAACTCACTCCCACTTGAACTCAAAAACTGCACTGACCTCACCAGATTCAAAACCCTTCTCAAAACCCACCTCTTCCGCACTGCCTTTCATCCCTCCTAACCCCCCCCCCCATTAGATTTTACCTGATTCTACATGTTTTTATTGACATTGTCGTAAATTTTATTACTCATTTATGTGTGTTTTATTGTTATTTGATTTTACCTGATTACATGTTTTTATTATATTGCCGTAAATTTTCTTACTTATTGATGTGTGTTTTTTACTGCTTACTCTGTACAGCGTCTTTGTGTCTTTGAAAAGCGCTTTACAAATAAAATGTATTATTATTATTATTATTATTAGACCTTGAGTCGTACTGCCTCTCACAAAATATGGCAGAGGCAATGAATGTCTCATGCAGAGATGGGAGCTTGGCTTTTAATTTTCTGCAAACCACAACTTTACCTGCTTTTTCCCCTTTTTCTCTCTCTTTTAGTCAGGTTGTGAAGGATTCTAAAGTGGTCAACTTTATTACAAGATACGTGCTTAAAATGCTTAAATGGCGGGAATCCAATAAAGCATTTAAAAGTACAAAGCAAATGCAAAAGCGGAAGCGCACTGCAAAAAGAAAGAAATAGCCTATCAATGCAACCTCAAGAACAAATAAAACCTAAAAATATCAGCGAAAGATCTGATCTGGACTCTTGCCATGCTGCAAGTGAGGATGAGAGAGTCCAGCAAAACTTTTACTTAGCCTGGAGGACCTGTGCAGAAATTCTGTAAGGCTGCTCAGGGATACCAAGATGCCTAGCATTAACCACTAATATAGCTTTATAGATAATCATACCAATAGCTTGACAGCAAACCAAGGACTGTTGTTGGAATCAACACTTCTGATTCAGACTGACACTGTGAAAAACATGGATTATGAGTATGGGAAACAGTAGAGGGACACCAAGCGCGGTAATCTCCTCACTTTAACAGGAATCCAGTTGAGGGTTTAATGGGCGCAGCTCTGGGTGCAAAAACACCTTTGCTGTTAATTCGGTTGTTTCAGCTTTTTGCAACACATTGTTTTAATTATAATCAGTTTGTCATGTCGATGCATTTGTTTTGGACTTTTGCATGTGTTTTACAGCATTTTGCAGCTTGCCTCTCCTAATGAAGATTATTCAGGTTGTTACAGATCCTCTGACCACTGTATGGACTCCTGCTAGAAGGCCAAAGAGCTTGCCTTGTGGAAAATGAAGTGAGCACTCTGGTGATGCACTTTCAATGATGGGGGGGGCTTATGAGAGAATTAAAAAGGTCATATTCCAGACAGCAGCTGGGCATGAACACAGGACCAAAATAACCATGGAGAAAATAAAAGTAGGTAATACAAACTGAAAACAGGTGTATTAATTTAAGAGAAGATAAACTTGTAGATAAACATTTTGTACAACTCTGTGCAGCTGTTCAAAACCAGCAGGTAAAAGACAAGCAAGCAAACAAAAAACAAAAGATTTTATTTAAATTTTTTAAAGACTGCTTTGTTAGGGGGAAAAACAAAGAGAGACAACTGGTCAACTTTGTTAACTTTACAGTTGTTACATTTGACCTGAGGAAATAAACAGATACTTAACCAGCTGACATTTGGCCAAGCTTTATCACAGAAACAGCAATGACATACCCCCCATGCTATGAATCTGTGTCATATGTTGACATAATTGGACTCTGTACAGTTGACCTCTAATTGTGGTGTGTCACACCTTGACACTATGGCTCAGTGTGAGGGCTTGCCATTGTTTATATTCTGAGTCGTTTGGGCCTACATGTTGGCTAGTTGTTAAAGTGCAAGCCTGCGGGAGTGTTTTAATATAAGCTCTAACCTGACACTCTGTAAAGTGACATGGCCCTGAAGACTTAACCTTAAATTGCATCCACATTGGACGTAATTGACTGTTAACTAAACTCTTCCCAAAATGGCAAAAGTCATCTTTAGCCTAGCAACTGTAACAGGGGATGGCATGTCTGTCAAGCTTTGGATCTAATACCATGTTTAATGTGACCTCAGGGCTGGAGAAAAGGAGAATATCAATTGGCTGTACGCTGTAAAGAAGATGTGAATTTTCCACTACATTTCTTAGAATAAAGAGATTCCTTAGATAACTAGCTTGTCAATTACTGGAACAGTAGAACCTTATTTACGCTATGCACCGGAATGAAAGCTATTTACATCAACTTGTGTTTATATTTTAGATAAAACGTAAAAGATTAAATGTGTTAAAATGCGGCTTTTAAGTTTCATTCGCAGAGGGAGGATAAGGATGGGGCTTAGAAACCGGAGAATCTTGAAGCACTATACTTTCCATAAGACATCATACTGCACCCTCACACAAGTTTGATCAAATGAAAGCTGATCCATTGATATAGCATCTCTGATGCAGTGCACAGGCCGACTGCCAAAGCACAAATGAGGAAGTGTGTTCTCAGATAAAGGCCCAAACTCACGCTGAACTCACACTGTGGCCATGCTGGGCCTTATCACAGACATGCAAATGAGTACTAATTAGCCCTAATTATGACTCCCTGTCTTCAGAGTTCCATAAAAATGTACAAGAGCAGCTTTTTCCCTCTCAGTTTTCTCCACAAGGCCTGATACGTGTTTGGCATTGTAACTGGGGGCAAAAGGATAAATTTATCTTACAAATAACTGCCTGAAACAAGTCAATGCTCAGAGTTTGGTCACTGAAACCACAACGCACATACATGTGGGAATGTTTCTATGTTAACTGTTTAGGCTTCTATCCATACAGAGATGACTATGTCTTTTTGTGCAGGGTTGAAAGTCATGTGGACATCTCACTTATATTATGGGAAGGACAGGCTTTTAGAAGGAGCTCAGAGAACAACTTCCATCAGGGAGAAAATTCTAAAACAGATCATACTGGTGGGGTTAAATCTGAAATGACTGGGAAATACAGTGATTAGTAAGAAAGACATAAAAAGACCTGGCTCTGGGTTAGCAAAAGAGCTTGGACACAAAGCTTTCATCCCTGTTTGGACGTATGCATGATGCTGTCTTGATTATCACAAATGCAGTTCTCTGAGGATTATTGTTCTTTACACACTTGTATAATAACTACGTTTAAGTCTTACCAAAACACACACGCAGACACGCACGCACGCGCGCGCGCGCACACACACACACACACACACACACACACACACACACACACACACACACACATATGCAATTGCAAATCAGTAACTCTGAGATTCATGCAGAAAAATACTTGTAATTTCCATGTAGATGGCTCTGTCTCAGCTCTTTGCACTCTGCTCTTAAAAATAAACATAACGCAGACACATTTTTTTCTAACAAGTTAATGTGTTTCTGGTAAATATGTTTTGTGTTGAGTTGCTCTTTATCACAAACCAAAGCATACATGAATACTGGATTTTCTTCTTTTTCTGAATTATAAGAAGAAATCATGATGTGAATAATGATATACTGATCTACTTTGAGAAGATTCTACTGTTTGTTAAAGTGACGAAGGTCGTTAAACGCCCCGTCAATCCCCTACTGGCACGTGTCTCTCTTCTCGCGGTGTCGGTGCCGGGAATGCGCACGGAGCGAACTCGTTCCCCGCGACGCCTGGCTCCGTCAAACTGTTTCCCAGCACCTGTGTCCCGCAGTCCTGCACTCCAACCAACCGTTTCCCTTTCTAACTACTCTCTCTTGTCCCCACTTTGGGCGTTTGAAGGTGCACACTTGACAACCACACGCCAAATACACTTTCGTCCACTTACCTGCTGCCATTTTCCGAGCCAAACCGGGGCACTTCCAGGTCCCACAGTAAATAGCGCAAGGAGGCACGCTTTTGGGGGTCATGTGACCGCCGGACCATACCATTATAGTTCACTTGTGATATTTTTTATGATTTGCTGTTTTCAATGAGTGAGGTCACAACTGTATGGAGGGCGAACCAAAGCTACACTTGATGCACACTCCAACAGGAAGGCCAGCTGACTCTCCAGTATTATTTACATTTAAGAGTAAATTTCCTCTGTGTTATATATAGACTCTGATAGTGTGAAAATCAGATTTCAAATGGAAAAAAATCACTCTCTGCACAGTTCCCACAGTGGCAATATTCTCCTTTCAACAGGTAATTTCACAGTATCAAGTATGTTGAGTATGTGCCTGGATGGTGTTTAGTTTCACAGCCTCCTGTCTGTAAATATTGCACAATTTTTGTTGGACAACAGGAGGATTGCACCTCTTATTCAAGAGTTATTTATAGTTTTTGATGTGTAAACTGTATTCTGGATGATAGTTCAGTGCAAGTCTGTAGTGCTGCATTGCTGCTGCTGCTGCTGCTGCTGCTGCGAATAATATCTCTAATATTAGGGGTGGAAACTCGTGGAAGGAAGACCCTTGATGTTGACACTTAAATTGGGGTTTAGGATGTGATATTTTGGTACTTTGTGAACATTTTGACCCCATTTATTTATTTATTTTAAGTGTTTAGTGTTTGCTTTGGATCCTAATCACGAAAGAAAAAGGGCTCAATCCTTAAAAAAAGAGCGAGTGTATCCATGCAAAAACAGCTCTTCCTAACATGCAAGTAGTGAGCAAACCGTAGCAGATGGAGCACAAATAAATTGGCAAGAAGTACTTCAAGCAATGTTTCAGTGTTACGAGGGGATGAGACTGTGTTGCTTGTGAAATCTCTCTCTGCAAATAAAAAAAAAAAAAACAAGTGTGTGAGACTTCTCAACAATGGAGGCATGGCAAACAGTTTGTCAAACAAGAAGTGTGTTGTTTAGCCTGTTCAATGATGCAGGGTTAGGAGAAACATAGTAAATGATTCCCTTTTTTTAACCTGTCAGTATAACTCTCAATAAAGAATAAAATAAAATGAATAAATAAATAGTCCCTGTGTTCACAATGCTATATGGAAACATACAAATTAGTCAACATATTGCATGATTGGAGCCCCCTGCCCACAGCTCTTTGCGACAATAGATCTATTAAAGCCATGTCAGTGATCATATTGAGAATTAAGGATATTCTCCAACTCTTTGGTTAAGAGAAACTTAATTATTTTTTTCCCCTATGAAATTAAAAGGCTTTTTTTTTTTTTTTAAAGCCTGACACTGCTTAATTTTTTTCTCCATTGGGATTGCATTTGAAGAAAACTAATTTGAGCTTCAAAGTTCTCCTACAGTGAGACAGTAGAAAGAGAGAGAAGCCTTTCATTGAGTTTGTGTCTTATTTTTTTTGTGAAATACAACTGGCCTTGTATTTTTTATGGAGTTCTAGAGAGAAATAATGAAGTAGAAAGCCCTAATGTCCTGGTTGGAGGGCCTTGGCTGAGATCCATTTAACAAGACCACTCACTGCTGCGGGGTTTACTCCCACCACATCACTACATTTATCATCCTGCACGTAGGTGTAATTATTATATTTAGAGAGCAGAGCCACTGGGACAAAGCTGTGCACGGGAAGGTAGCGTGGGTCAAATAAAGAATTACTCAGACAGACACCTGAGAAATATCTTTGTGGAGGTGCCTTTCATTTCCAAAGCTGCTGACACCGACACCAGTGTACAGTTTAACACACATCACCTGTCAGCTATGTATCACTGCTGCTTACAAGGCAGCTGCCTCTCTGTATGTAACTAATACGGCTGTCAGAAACCTCCTTCAGTGTGGGAGCATTTTAAAGCGGATGCTTTTTTATGTAGTCAAACACTTGATTACTGGACAGACTGAGCAACACAGCGAGAAACTGGGTGTTTATGCAAAGTGCACCTTAACCATATACTTATTCAACATTCTGCCACCTGTAGGTGATATTAAAGCCCTCCTCCTTTTTCATCCAATCTTGCCAACTACAACCGTTTGTCTGATAATAGCCAGGTTCAGGCATGGATAAAAGACTCGTCTGTTCATCAAAGATGCAACAGATGATGTGTAAGCAACAAGCTGAAGAAGGATGCTGGACAAATGGAGCCACAGCAACTATAGTAAAGATGAAACGTGAAGTTAACATCAGACAGAGAAGAACATCAGATGGCTAACTTGTTGATTAGCGCCTGCAACAACCATTTGTACTATGTGTTGTGTAATACAGACCATAATAGAACTGCTAGGGAGAGGAGTTGAAAAGAAATTATTCCTGTAGTGGATGGACTGTGGAGCAAAGCAGGCAGAAATGTTTATCTTGAGAAGCATCCTCACATCTGCTTTATTTGTTCACTCTTAAAGGGCTATTCGGGCATAAATTTAAGTTCTGGTTAAACTGGCACTTGGTGTTTGACTTGCCAAGGCCACCCCACAAGCGGCTGCTAGAGGAGAGTAGGTGAGTTGTGTTTAGTCTCTTTGCTAAAGAAATTAGGCAAAGCTAAGAAGATGTTTGATGGCTAGTGCTATGGCTGTGTATTGCTACCCTGCTGTTGTTACTAAAGTTGGTATACAGCTCGAGAAGCAAGCAGTAAGCAACATTCATCTCTCAATGGGGGTGTCTAACTTGGTGTTACAGTGTGTTTGACCATAACTTAACCACTTGCGCCCGGTGCCCGCAGACCATGGCATGAGCCTCTTCCGGTCATCTCCAGCCTCTAGCTTCACAAGGACGAGATGGAACAACAGATTTTTTTCTGATTTTGCAACAGGGGGGGTTGAAGCATGTCTAAAATACTGTGTTTGAATATTTCACTGACGTATTTTAATCATTTTTAAGATTTTAGAGTTATGCCGGAATATCCCTCTAAGTCATGTTTGAGACTCTCGAGGTTTAGATTTTACAATAGTTCTACTTTTGAAATCAAATACTTTGTGTGCAGTTTTGATCAAATCAGTCATTACACACTTCATACATAATCTGTATGATTAGGTCTAGACTATAGACTGCTATTCAATGACCCACTGGATGGCCTGAACTGAAACTGTTGTCCTCTGTGACACCATTAAGGTAAGTTTAATTTCATTCCAAATAGAACAAAGTCTGAATCAGCTAGTCCTGCTCCCCTTAAGGCTCTGAGTTATTTTTTTTCAGTGCATTTTACCTTTATTGGTTTGGAAAACTGATGAGAGAAAGGTATTGTGGGAGATGACATGCAGCAAATGCTCATAGCCTGGGGTCCAAACCCACTTTGTGGACATTGATGTTAACACAAGGCACTGTATCCCCAGAAAACCTATGACTCATAACTCTTTGATACACAAGTCCTCTAAGGTAATGTTTCCTTTATCTTGATATGCTGCCTTTGGCCTGCAGTGTTTCTTCACTATTCGTTGATACCATCAGTGCCTGTTATCTCAATACTTTTTAGTCAAAACACTTAAATTAAACAGGCCTTCACTTGTGGTCTCACTGACTGTAGGTTGCTTTGAAAAACAAAATGATTAATGTTTGGTGCAAGTACTTATTTTTGTGGTAACTTAAAGGCACTGTGAGGACTTCTTATCATGTTAAAAAACAGGCCAAAACTTACACTGACGCCTCTTAATGACATTCAGAAGCATTAAAAAAACATCTTTGACATTACTTAAAACCTGACAGTAGATGAAGTAGAAGATGTAGAAGAGGTATCACTTTGTCCACCAGCTTTAAGATTTTCATGCCAACTCCATTACTCTTGGGACACTATGTAAATGTTGATAAAGACAAATCCTGATGGTTTGCAAATTATTTGCAGCCTAATTTGAATTAAGAATTACTAGAAGGACAACAGATTGAATGTTGAAACTGTTGAATGTTGAAAAGGCTATGTAATGAAAATAATAATAATAATAATAATATGGAGGGATATCTCTCAGATATAGATTAGATACGGATATACAAAAATATAAACACAGATATAGATATAGTTTACATTCCTTTGCAACAGGTAAGTAAAAAATTCTGGTTATAGAAAACGTATTGTTGAAAGGCCAAGTCTCTCAAGCCGAAAACATACAGGGTCCGTATTAAGCACATTCTGTATTTGCTCCATAGAGCAGCATTGGGTATTGCATACAGGATGCATATTTGGAGCGTGGCAGCAGCGTACTGCAGCCCCGGTCAGCTGGGCTCAGTTTAGAGGAGACAACATACTAGCAACAGGTTGTTTTGCCTCTCTCTATTTCCTGCTAATTTGGATATTATTCAGTGACCATTGAGCCTCTACAATATGTGAAAAGAAACGTGATTTTACAGTTTTGGTTTTTGCAGGTTTACTCGTGTTTAATAAAGTAATAAAGTTCCTTTATGCTGTGCTGTTACCTTCAGAGAGAGTTAGCAGTTAAAGTCCTGTTGGGGTCCACATGGATTAGGGATTCATCATCGGATTGGTCTGTTACTGATAAATCCAAAACCAGGAAGTATTTCTCTTCTACATGAACTGATACACAGGCAGGGTCCGCATATGGTGTTTTATTTTGAAATACCGGATGACATGCACAGTTTTTGTGCTTGACTTCCTGTCTAGGACAATCTTCTTTGTGTGGATTGACACGCTTTGGAAGCAGCAAAAATAAACTCGCCACGTATCTTAGGCAGTGATGCTCTTAATACGATGCTGCAACAGAGCTGATACGCATCCTGTATGCTACATTTCATTGATCAGAATAGCAACCTATTTGCTGCGTGATACGCGACACTGCTGCCACGCTCCTAATACGCATCCTGTATGTTTTAGCCTTCAGATGCAAAGATGGGGAAAGGTTCACCACTTCGTGAGGAGCTGGATTAGAAAATATTGAAGCTATTTCAGACATTGTTCCTGAGTGAAACTGAAAGTTATTTTAAAGTTTAATCAACTAGAGTGCATAATAATATTAAGACAGGCAGAGATTTGGTAGAGATTCTGTACAAAACAGACAAGACCTTCGGCTGTTTCCTGTAACCTTAGGCCGCACTACTGCGTTACAAACAGACATGAATCTGCGTATGTTTTCACTGCATGGGCTCGAAAACACATCCAAAAACCATTATCTCTGGACACAGTTTGCTGTCCTTGGTTTGCTTGCCCCCAGTTGAAAATAAGCCAATTATTTTCATAAATGTATACATTTTTTTAGCGCCGACATTTCACTTGTTGTCTTTGCACTGTTTTCAGTCATAGGGTTTAAGCGATTTGCAAACTGTTCATTTTTTCAATCAACATTTCACACAGCATCTCAACTCTTACAGAGCCGAGGTTATATAATCCTGACTCTAAAGTACAGTAACAATATGAATGCAACAATCCGAGCATTGTTTGGTTCAAGGACAGTAAAGTATTGAATAGGCAAGGGACAATTATACACATTCAAAGCTCTAAAGAATACACAGACTGCAGTTCTTTCAAAAGTTTTCTGTATAGAGAGAAGTTGCTTCAACAAAATAGTTGAGGTTTTGAATTACTTTAATAATTCTGAGAGTTGTTTCTTTTCAGCGCTCACACTCGACAATAACATTTGCACAGCTTATAATACATGTTTTCTGCTAAAATCTATCCATTTCAAACCAGTTTGTTTTTAGCTCCAACGAATTGCACATTTACTTTTTTTGACATGCCCAGTACTAGTGTGCTTTAAACTGGCATTTCTCTGCTAACAAATGGTTTAATACATGTTGCTTCTACTTTTGCATGCAGACGTGTTTTTATTATACATGCTTAAGCTTGGCAAAACCAAATTACAAAGGCACATTACATCTCTTAGCCAGGATTTATTTTCCTGCTCTTTCTGAAGATAGACTTGCAACTGTGTATCAGGGAGCCAATTGATTTTTCTCTTGGCTGTCTGCTGTTAATGAGCATCAGCAATATAATGCCTGTGATATCTTCCATTTGCTTGAGCGGCGAGAGTGCTACTTTGTCAGGCCGAGCATGAAAGAACTGTGGTTTTCAGATCAGCCTGCAAGCCTGTTCCCTCTTTCCTGCCACCTTCTCATACACTCTTAATGGAAGCAGGACAAAGAGCTGGGTGCGCCGTTTCCTTGTAAATTAGCAGTCTTGGATGTGTCTCATTTGAACACGAAAAGCATGGGGTGCCATGAAGTAAGGCTGTCTACTCTGTGTGGTTATGTGCATGTGTGTGTATGTTTGTGAGGTATGAGCAGCTTCGCCTGCCTCATTCCTCCAGGGGGGGAGTGGGAGGCGAACGGAGAGCTGACAACATCGAGCATGTCTGTCACATTCAGCACAGCACTCTAGTCCAGCTCTCTTACAAGACACTGGCTCATGCCCTGAGACAAACCTGCGGCTGAAAGCTACTTTATAAGCTATTGTCAAAGACTTCCTAATCCAATTAACCGTGACACCTTTTTTTTTTTTTAATAAATGAAACTAAATTACAGAGCATGAGAATAGAAGTGGCATTTTCAGTTACGTCCCCTCTTTCTATCCTCTGTTTGGTTCTTTCTCTTGGATAAACATGCTCATAATCATTTTTCCTTCCACAATGTAAAAGCTGCCTCTCATATTGATATTACGGTGACCATATGTCCTCTTTTACCTGGACATGTCCTCTTTTGGGGGCTGTCCGGGGGGAGTTTATAAAATCCTTCAAATGTCCGGGGTTTTGTATGGAAGCTGTTTTTTTCCCCCTGTATTTACCATACACGTTCAATGGTTCATTTGAAAACACACTCTGAGACGCAAAACCCCGGAATGTGTATTCATTGATTATAACACAGTGCCGCTGCTCTGCTCCTAAGCTTGATTCGAAACAAAGTCACTGACATGACGCTCACATGCACTGTCTGCTGGTGAGCGAAAGGAAATAGAGAAATATTTGTATGTGACTGATAATTTTGTTGAGGAGAAATGCTTTAGATAAAGGAATATATTGTTTATAAACACAACTTTGTGTGAGTATTTTTCAGTATCTCCAAGAGGCCAGGTAAAGTGTCTTTTTGGAAATTCGGAATATGCGTTCAACTGAGTTAGAAGCACGTAAACACTCCACCCGACCCGAAAAACCCTCAAAATTTTGCATGCGCATGTCCTTTTTTGGGGGGGATTCAGAGTATGATTACCCTAGAAAAACCCTTAAAATTATGTGTGCATACTCGTAGTCATGTCCTCTTTTTGCGGATTCAGAATATGGTCACCCTTATTGATGTCATATTTAAATTGAGAATTTAGTAATTCTTGGAGTTCATAGTAGTGGTCCAGGCTAACAAAAGGAATAAGATAAAATGGAGTAGAGACGAAGAAGAAGAAGCTAGCTAGCTTTAGCTGCCTTCTTAGATTTTAAAACCTGACATTCAAAGATTTATTCTGAATCCAAAAACTTTGTCCAAGCTTGTGCTTCTTCAGTTCACCGTTTATTTTAAATTGTTAACTTTTTAACCACTTTTGAAATCCTTAATCAACCAGAAATAGTACATATATGTACGATTGAGGCAGTGTCTTCTCCACAAAGGTTTGAGTCACAGGGGCTGGTGATATGAATCAATCATACATTTAAACATCAGCAGAAACGGATGGCAGCATGTAAGTTAGTAGCATTGATTGTGTAGCTCCACCCTTGTCTTCCTTTTTCATCAGTTTGACTGATTTGTGGTCCAAAGTACAGGGATAGTATGGTTACTGTAATATTTTATGGCACGAGTAATCTCGAGGTGAAAACCTGATATAATGACAGCCTCAGTAGTAATAAAAGCAAGAAAAGGTGCCACCTAAAATCCCCAGGAGGGAGAGCTGAATGATGACTGGACTGTCAACATCAATATTCCTCCAGAAGTCCTTTTCTCCTCCTCTTACTTTACTTCTATCTAAAATTTTTAGTTTAATCTAAAATGTTTTAATCAGCCCAATGTTCTAATTTAACAACATACAGGCGTACTCTTAATTCCAACGTGTCACATCTCAGTCTTGTTCCTAGAGCGTCTCTCACTCTGCTCTGACAAGCTGAGTCTATTTTTGACAGAGCCCTCGCCCAAGCATGCGTCAACCTGAACATGAAATATTGACTGGGATAGGAAGTCAAACACAGGAATAGCTTTTACCGTTTGTTTCATTTCAACAGGAAACACCATGAACTGACTCCTGACTGTATACCAGACTGTGTACACGTATTAAAGGGATATTCCGGCATAATTTAAGTAATGGTCAAACCCACAGTAACACTGAGTTAGACACCCCCTGGAGAGATGAATGTTGCCGACTGCTTGCTTCTCTAGCTATACCAACTTTAGTAACGACCGCACAATAGCAATACACAGCGGTCTGAGGAGCCGCACACAAACCTCAACCAAAACACCACTCTACAGCCACAAATAATGCTCAGAGCAGCACCTAACTTCATCAACAGTACTTATAGGGTCATAGCAATAGCACTAGCCATAAAACATCGTTATAGTTCTGCCAAACTTTTTTAGCAAAGAGACGAAACACAATTCCCCCACTCTCTTCCAGCAGCTGCTTGTTTGTGGGGGGAGCCCTGACAAGTCGATCACTGAGTGCAGTGGAGTTTCGCAGCTCAAGGAAGAACATTTATGATTATTACTTCATGGAAATGCAATCAGACCGAGACGCTAAGGAAGAAGAACTACTGCGCCTGCAGTGCAAAATGAGTAATATAATGATTATTACTTCATGGAAATGATCTTCTACACTCAGTGATCAACTCGTCAGGGCTCCCCCACAAACCAACGACTGCTGGAGGAGACTGGGTGAGTTGGGTTGTTGTCAAGTACCACAGAAAACACCAGCAGGACTTTTGTCTGTTGACTTCTTCAGTAGGTTCAACATATTCATAAGTATGAACTCATTTAAACCTTCAAAGAACTACATCACTACTGGTGTTGGAAGCACAAAGCTCATGTGATAACATCAAAAGTAAAGTAAAAAAGCCACAGAAAGGCATGGCAGCCTGTTGTTGGTTTGTTGTTCTCTGTCCTGCTGCTCTGGGCTGCACTCCACTGTGCTTCATGTCAAATATGCCTCTGGTGTTGTAGCAGGACGTGCTTGTGGACGTGTGAGAAGGTGAAGCACATGCTTTGTGTGGATTTCAGGATCTTTTCTAGCTGTTTTAATGACAAAGTTACGAAATAATACATAAAACAATAAAGCTCTCTTTAAATCACTGTCTGATTTGCAAACCTTCCATCTCTTACTTAGAAGGACTGTATTGAAGCTGTTAAAACTACATATAGTTGCAGAAATGTGTGAAATGGTGATATATGCTTGCTTGAGTTCAGCTTCAACAGGTAAATTAAACCAAAATGCACCATACACAGACATTCAGAGGACTTATTTGGTACATGAGTTCCTTTTTAAATTTTACATTATTTCAGCCCATTTCCTATCCTCCATCTGAACATGACTTTGAATCTTTTCGCATTTACCACAAATTACGGTGGGGAAATAAAGCCATCCTGGTCAGGGTGGCACATGAGTTTAAAGTGAATCCCGCCACTAGCTCAGCGAGCTCTTCCTGTCATCAGTAGGCTTAAAATATTTGAAATGGACGAGTGAATGTGATTCTGTGAAACGACCGTGGCTGG